CGGAGGCGGGGGGGAAGCCCCTCTTCGGCATCGGCATCGAGAACTTCATCACCTTGATCGTCTTCGGCTTGATCTTCGCCCTGGGGGTGCTGGGCAACTCGCTAGTCATCACGGTGCTGGCGAGGAGCAAGCCAGGCAAACGCCGGAGCACCACCAACATCTTCATCCTCAACCTGAGCATTGCCGACCTGGCCTACCTGCTCTTCTGCATCCCCTTCCAGGCCACTGTCTACGTGCTCCCCACCTGGGTGCTGGGAGCCTTCATCTGCAAGTTCATCCACTACTTCTTCACCGTCTCCATGCTGGTGAGCATCTTCACGCTCTCAGCCATGTCCGTGGACCGCTACGTGGCCATCGTGCACTCCCGACGCTCGTCAGCCCTGCGCATTTCCCGCAACGCGCTGCTGGGTGTGGGGCTCATCTGGGCACTCTCCTTCGCCATGGCTTCACCTGTGGCTCACCACCAGCGCCTCTTCCACCGTGAGGCTAGCAACCAGACCTTTTGCTGGGAGTACTGGCCCAACCCACGCCACAAGAAGGTCTATGTAGTTTGCACTTTCATCTTTGGGTATCTGCTCCCACTGCTACTCATCTCCTTCTGCTATGCCAAGGTGGGGCAAGTTGTGTAGAGGTGAAGGGTATGTGAAAGGGATGGGGAGGGGGTGTCCATGAACTGTGGGGTCATTTCTGGGCATATGAAGGCACTTGGCAGTTTCAGGAGGCAACCAGGTAGGGATGGGTTTGTGGGTCAATTGGTGTCAGCAGGTTTTATAGCTGAAGGATGACCGGGGGACATGTGTGTGTGACACAGAGAGGTCAGGACAGAGATTGCATGGGGCAGGGAGCGGCGGTTGTTCTGGCAATTACTGAGGTTCCTCTGCCAGATTTCCTTGTTGTAAAGTGTTAAGAAGCCCCAGTGCTCTGCTGGCTTTCTCTATCAACACAACTATCCTGTTGTCTTGCAGTGCTGTGTGAGGAGTTTAACTTAAACAAAGTACAACAAAGCAACAAGTTGTTCAGGCTTCAGATGAAGAATTGTGCTCTTTAAAATGCAGTGCACTTAATGACACAAATCCACCAGTTTGGTCTGATCCAGTTAACATGTTAAGAGCAAAAGGTGTTATCATTCTGCTTGGTCCCTGCAAGTCCTGTCTTGCCCCAGTTGATGTGGCTGGGAGATTTACCTTTGACTTCAGCAGGGGCAGGTGGTGATAGGGAGCAGTGCATGAGGGCCCAAATAGGAAAAAGCAGTAAGGTGCCTGAAAAAGAGTATTTAAGGACTTTTCTGCTCAGGTAAACCGTCATATTTTCCTGTGAATATTAATTGCAGCTTTCAGCATAGGGTCCGCTGCTTGCTGCTGGACAGGATCTGGAGCACTGGCTGCTGCCTGCTGAATTAGGCAGAGATCCTCCTGTTTCTGTGCCAGCAACCTTCAACAGCAGGATTTCTCCTTAGGCAGTAATTTACATTTGAGGGGACCGGTCTGCAGGACTGTTTAAATGTTGAGAAGCCAGTTCTTTAATTGGTAAGTTCAACAGATGTAATTAAGTTATTTAATTTGAACAAGTAATTTTATGTTCTCTTCAGTTTACATTAGCTTAATTGTACTGTGCAAATGAAGGCTAGAATGGCATCCAACTCTGCTAAAACGAAGTATGCAGAACAAGGAGGACAACATTTCTAAATTGCTGTTTGTAATGAAACAAGTCTTACCTGCAAATGGAGAAGAAACACATATTTTCATACATAAACTAAGTTCTCTTTTCACTGGGTGAAAACAGTTGTGTATGTGACTGAGCTGTGAGAGGTATGAAACTTCCGGTAGCCATAGATCATCAGAGCTTTAAGAAAATATTATGTATTTCAGGGAGAATGCTATGGAATGTGTGCAGAGGGAGCTTTTCAGCTTGTAAGAATTCTTGTATTTTTCAAAGCCAAAGCATCTTCAGTTTCAGCATAAAGCACCAGTCTTCAAAGTCTAATTATATGACATAAACCTGAAAACAAATCTTTCAAAATTATGAGTCCTGCATAGAATGGGGGGGAGGGGAAGAGATATGCTTAAACGGAATATAAGCATAGTAAATATAACACACCATGTTATTATGAAGCACCACTACAGAAGCAGATCTCTCAATATTAGTATAGTAGTTAAAAAAATCACAACAAAACACAAAAAAAACCCCAAAGCAACAGAGCAGCCCTATGTGAAATACATGCCCAGAAAAAATTCATAAAATCAAGGCCGCTTGAAGTTACAAATGAAGTCTTGTGATTAAATTATTGCCGGGCTAGGGTCTCACCGTTGGTTGGTGATGTATTTTGAGCCTGTATGTATGATCTTGCTTGTCACAGTGTCAAGCTGGCACATCCTAGCTGCAAGGATGAGTTTTAGGAGATACTAGGAGATACCTGATATTCCCATCAGTGTCAATGAACCTGAAAAATGCCGCAACTTTTACAAGGCCGTTGAAGGTATTTGTACCCTGCATCACAAAGGCGCGTTCCTGCCCTCGTTAGGAGCCACTGGGAAATCTTCAACTGCAATATTTTGGCATGTGGGGCAGGATGAGGGAGAAAATAAGGATGATGCCTGCTGAAAATCGAGCTGTAGTTTTAAATTTCTCTTATCCAATGCGGCTCTCACAGGTCTCAAGAAAAGTGGTCACTGGGAGATTTTACTGATGTCGCTAAAGTACTATGAAGTGCAACAAGTATTTTGGCTTCTGAATGCACATCAGGTTAGAGGATCATTGCTGTGTGATAGCCTCAGAAGCCTTATAAAACTAAATGCATTCGTTTCTTATGGACTTGACTGGCTTTCATGAACTGTGGATCAGCTAAATAATGCAATCTTCTGATACAGTAGATTAAGACAAAAGAGGCTTATTTCTCTATTTGAATATATTGCCTTTCCCAGACTCCTTTAAGGCAGTTCTATTTCTCTTATAAGCAAATTGCAATTGAACTTTCAGTTTTGAAAGTCTCATTTTTTTAGGTACTCTAATAGGGAGCTAAGTTCTTTCTCTCTCTCTTAAATTGTGTTAGGAGAGATTTGTATTTTCCCCAGTGAATAGCCATACTGTTACAACCTACAGATGTGATGAAATAGTGCTAGGTATTTGGAAAAAGCACAAAATCAGAACTGGAAATCTCATGTGATGTGCTCTTAAGGCAGAGAATGATGAGATTGTGCTGTGTCCTGTGCGTACAGCTACATGTTCCCTCTCTCCTCCAAATAACTTTGATTCAGTTTCAACCAAGTTTGAAAGAGGAGTGAAAATATCAGAAGGAATGATATTTCCCTATTTTTGTGAAAACGGGTAAACGAAGAAGGTAGAAACTCTCTGTCAGCCTCTCTCCTTTAAGGAGAGAGTCAGGTTGCACTCAGCTGTTAAACATCAGACAAACCATGGGGAGAAGAGGCATTATGTAGCATCTGCTCATGGAAGAGACACATCTTTTGGGGAATGCACAGTCAAGAAATCATAAATCCATAGGAATCTAGCTTTTGTTGCCTCACAGAACTACTACTCAAAGGTGCTTACTACTGCAACCAGAGGAGCAGTGATTATACGGTTACTAGTTGAGTTACAGGGCCGCATACTTGTAGACAGCCTGTATTCTTATTTTTTTTAATTGTTAATCATACTACTTGCCATATTTTTTAACAGTGACTTTTTAATGTATTTCATAACATTGCTACAACATTTGTTCACTAATGTGTTCTTATAGGGCAAAGTGATAAGTGACTCCCAGTGAGCTTCTGACAATTGATATCTGTTGGGGTAGTGCATTGTGAGACGGCCTCTGCTATTGAGTACCCAACTATGAGCATTTAGTCTTTGAACGGCAGGCCTCCTTCAATCAAACTTTAAAGTTGGACACCTAAAATCATTAGCAAACTTTTCCTTTTATAGATGTATAGTGTTAAAAGCTGTTTTTAAAAAAGTATTTATTGCCTTAAGAATGTTTCCATTATTATCTGCCATTCTGAACAGTCTGAATTCATGGAAGTCAGGTATGATTTATTGACTTGGTTAAAAGTAACCATAAAAAGCAACATAAAATAGAAGCTTATATGGTTCCTGGCTTAAGATATTATATCTTAAATTTTGTGAGCAGTGAGGGAAGACTTTATTAAACCATACCAAAAAGAAAAAATAAAAGAGTATGAGACATTAGCAACACACTATTAAACAAAAGAGGGTGAAGGATCTGTTGTGACAACAGAAGTAGCAGCATTACTTTAAAACATAGGTTACAGGCAATAGCACTTGAATTTAAATCAGGTTCATACTATAAAATGGGGTTCAGAATGTAATGCTCGCATTATGGCTCTGTTAAACAAGCGGTTCGTTCTTATTAGATAATGACCTTGGGCACACTCTCCTGCTGCGCTATTTTCAATGGCTGATAATGAAGGCGTAGTCAGTGGAATGATTATATACAGACAGACAGGAAATATGCTTTGCAACAGTGTAGGCTTCAAACTTTTGCAATGTTTGGTAGACGTATGGCAATAAGTCTAGTTTAAGCTATTTTTGTCTCCCTTCCTTATTGGAAAAATCCCTTTCTCAACTTAATTTGGTCATGGTCCCTCAGCCTGGGGTCAAATGAGTTTATGAAACAACTGGGGGCAGGGAGAGGGGAGAGGCGGGTAAAGGGTAGTCTATAGAGAAAATCCAGGGCAGTGATACTTGTGGTAGTATGGTCTGGACCAGACTGTAACTTCTTATTATACTTCTGTGATTCTACAAGTCTCCTTACACCCTCTTTTACAACAGAATAACTTCCTACCCACAGCACCCACCCTCATCTCCAGAGAACAGGGAAGCTATTTCTTCCCTAAGAGCCAGATAGGATCTTTGATCAACAGCTGGAGTTAGAGAAGTTTCATGTAGAGAGTCAGTTTTTCCACAGAGCTGAATTTTTAAAAAATATCTTATGAGAATAGGTTGTGACCTAATTTTTAGCAAGGTGAATGTTTCACTCCATGAGTTAAAAATGCACGTGCAGATATATTAGTAGTAAATATATTGAAAGACTCTTTAGAGAAATAACCCGAGACACATTAAGAGGCACGTGTAGAATTATTACTCATTCACATGAAGTGAGAGTGACTGTTAGAGGAACAATTGCTTATTCATTGGGCCAGAGAAGAGATAATTTGAACAGGGCCATGAAGAGAGGTATCTTTTGATTTAACTTGTAGTATTTGTGCATAAACATGGCTCTTAACATCCGTCCATGGTCCTTAGTGTAGGTGTCTCAGTGCTGTTCTATTGCTGTTTATAGGTAATTAAATTCTGCCCATTTCTCGTTTGCTACACTGCCACGTAGAGACAGCATGTTTTCACCACAGAAACTTATTTTATGAAATATGTGTATAATCTGAAAGAGAGGACGTTGAGAAGTATTCATTAGAAGGTTGTTACCCAAATGTTCAACAAACACGCACCACCACCACCACCATCTCAAAATATCCAATGTAAGTTTTGTCTGCTACATCGTTCTGTGGACTGTCAAGAGATGCAATCAAAAATTTGGGTGAAAAGTTTCAGAACAAAAGAAAAGAATGTAACTTTAAAAGAAGATTTTGCATTTCTGATTTCTAGGAGGAGTTTATCTGACCTTAGTTTTGGGCAGTGAGGGAATATCACAGTTCAGTCTCTGAGTGGCAGGGGGCAGGATTTGCAAACGTCCAGTAGAAACAGCCCATCATTGTCAATTATGTGAAGGGGATATTATAGGTGAAGCAGCAGTGATGGGAAGTGAACCTCACTGTATTTCTGCCATGTTTCTACGTTTTTCACCCACAGACTAAGCAATTAATCTGTCAAGTACACGATGATGGCAGGTGAATAAAGAAGGTGTGTGCCAGGGGTCATCAAACTGGTCTTATGCTGGTGACCTCAGGCGCTGTTCTGTCCTTTCCACCTGGTCTGCTTCATCCCGAAGAAGAAAGAAGGGCTGCAGTCAAAACAGAGCCTTCTCAGAGAAAACATACATTTTTCTCCTGCCTTTCCTGAGCTCAGGTTAGCAGCCTGGGTAGTGTTTGAGAACAGGAACTGCATGCAGAGCTGAGTCTTACACACACAAACATGTTAGTGCACAGATGAGCACAGATAGCTGCACTTCCAATATTAAGTGACTACAAGTAATTTTTTAATTTTATCATTTGTGGTTCACTGGTAACTAAGAGTAGATCCTTAAAGTGGAACCTAGCAATGAGCTATGCTTATTCACGAGCACCATCTTATTTTCTTTCAATTCATTATATATGTTTCTAAGAGACACATGCCAGAGTGAGATCAAGTCTTTCTGTCATCTTTGGTGTCTGTCCTGGTAGTGGTTAGCTGTGCACCCCAAAGAAAACAGAGAAAATGTCACCAGATTATATAAAAGAATTTGAATTTAAACACTTTTCCCACCTCCTAAGTCTCCTTGTAAGCCCTAAAATTTAGTGCTACATTCCTTTTAAAAATCGTTTTAATTCTGGAGGATCTTACCTATCAAATTCTTCTGGGTTCATCTTAGAGCTATGTAAAGCACAACCTAACATCATCATCATCATCTAACTAAGCTCTAGCATTCCCTCTCAAAAATCCCTCTTACCATATTTTAATTAAACCCTTGAGTTTAATTAAGCATCCTTTTTTTAATTCTGCATGATTCACAGTTTGTTAAACAGTCAGCTGAAGAGCATTTTCCTTGCCCACCCCATCCCTGGAAATCATGCCATATGAATATACTAGATTAAATTAATAATAACCACAGATAAAGCAGGGCATGCATCTCTACACATCCACTATCCAAAACCCTACGTGTAAATCATTACGTTAAAGTTTTGACTCTGCTTTTAGATGATGAGCTTTTTTGAGACATATTTTTAAAAACTGTTTGTGGAAGGTACATGATAAGTATCATCAAATTGCTGATAAAGGTCATACCTCATATAAGATAACATATTAGTATAAATTATTTTGGAAAGCCTAAGCTTCTTCTGGAGATCAAGGAGTGCCAAAATCCTGATTATATTAACCAAACATCTATCTGAAGAAAGCAAATTATGCAGGTGACTCAGAAATGCTCTGACTCAAAACATATACTTTTATGCTACTTACAGTAAAGGTCACTCTAAATTAACAAACATGGACATTTTTAGGGAAGAAGAGTGATTGCTAATTCTAGGTGCATCATTTGTTGTCTTGTTCATTTGTGATATGTATTTGTTATGTAATATATCTGAATTTTTTAATAAGAATTCAGTTGTGATCTTCTTCATATTTGTTGGTTCACACAGATGCAGTTGTGTAATTCCTTTGGATTTTATACACATAAATTGGATCAGTGATCTTTGTAAGCGATTCATGCAGTGCTGGAGAGCGTACTCTAAAATATATGGGTTTGAATTTAGAAAATGGTGAAATACAAGATGTAACTTAATCTTTTCAGGTTCTTAATCATCTGCATAAGAAGTTGAGAAACATGTCAAAGAAGTCAGAAGCGTCCAAGAAAAAGGTAGATTACTTTCATTACTGATATCTGTTTATTTATATTTTAGATTTATGGGTAAGTTAATCTGGTATTATATTGTTTGTTGCCAAAGATGTAGCAGGGAGAAGGAACTGAAATAAAGTACTTAATGACGTATTCTGTGTCTCTCTGAACTTAGCAGGATTGGAATCTTTTCTCATCTGATCTTTCCATTGCAGTACATCCAGCCATTATCTGAGATCCCCATATTTTGAACTTCAGAGCATCTGAAATTTAGAAATGTAAAGAGAATGTCTGCCATATTAAATGGGTGAGGTTTTTTGCCTCACAGGCATTTTCCGTAATTTGCAAACAGTTATTTATGTTATTTTTTTTTTTTATATTTTATGAAGAATTCCTAGGCTACATAATGAGACTTGAAAATGAGGTTTATTGTGCTTCTTGATAGGAGTCTAATAGAGACTTTCAGTGACTCTGCAATTCTGTTGATTTTCCACAAAATGCTTTTTTTCTTTGACATGCAAGACTTAAGTTATATACTGGTTATAAGTAGAATTGTGCAAGGCCTTTGAAGCAGGATATAAGCTTTGTGGTTTAGAACAAAATTTGAAAGATATGTTTATATATTAAATTTGTTGGTTAATATAATATGGTTCTGATTTTTGAGCAGATTTGACCACAGGATCATTTGACTAACATCTAAGTTTGTGAATGTGGAGTCAGAAAAATCCCTTAGGCTATAGCTCTTCATTTGGTCTGATCACTATTACCATATGGGCATGCAGACAGTCTGCAATATAGATGAGATATAGATGGGCTCAACAGGGAATAAGTAATCTATTATTTATGCATTCTCTATTTTTTTGACAGATATCATAGTCAAGAGATTTTAATTCCTAGAATCAAAAACTTTATGGCCCTGATTCCGTAAAATACTTATATACTTTTGCACTTCATATCATCAAGACCAAAGGTGTCATTTTCAAAGGCACTCTGTACATTGCCATCTCTATTCTCATCTACATTATTCTCAAACTGGAAATATCTGTGCATTTCCTCTAAACACTATCTCTTAAAAATGGCAAGTAAAAATCAGATCTGGCCAGGAACTAGCTTTCGCAGCTTCGGAGAAAAGTGTTAGATATATGCCAAAAACTTCTTGGATGTATCAGGGTTTAGTAACCAAAGGCCAAAAAAAAAAATAAGCAGCCCCAAATTTTTTTGCCTTGGGAAAGAAGTTTCTGATCCTAAGACCTAACTCATGTTTTTCAAAGCAATTCTCTTTTCACTAGTGTGCTGTCTCTGGGCACTGTAGACCAGAGAGTGGCTGAGCTGCTCTCCATCATCTTTGAAAAATCACGGGGAACAGGCGAGGTGCCTGAGGACTGGAAAAAAGGCAATATCCAGTCTTCAAAAAGGGCAAGAAGGAGAACCCTGGCAACTACAGGCCGGTCAGACTCACCTCCATCCCTGGGAAGATGGTGGAAGATGGATTCTGAAGGCCATCTCTAATCAGCTGGAAGAAAAGAAGGTTATCAGGAATAGGCAGCATGGATTTACCAAGGGGAAATTTTGCCTGACTAATCTGATATCCTTCTATGAAGGTGTGACAGAATGGGTTGATGGAGACCGGTGAATGTCATATACCTCGACTTCAGTAAGGCTTTCGATACCATCCCCCATAACATCCTCATAAGTAAGCTCAAGAAATGTGGGATAGATGATTGGACTGTGAAGTAGATTGCCAGCTGGCTCAGAAACAGAATTCAGAGGGCTGTGATCAGTGGCACAGAGTCAAGTTGGAGGCCTGTGGCCAGTGGTGTTCCCCAGGGATCAGTGCTGGGTCCAGTTTCATTCAGTATCTTCATCAATGACCTGGATGAGGGGATAGAGTGCACCCTCAGCAAGTTCGCTGATGATGCGAAACTGAGAGGGGTGACTGACACCTCAGGAAGCTGTGCTGCTATCCAATGGATCTGGACAGGCTGGAGAGCTGGGTGAAGGTGAACCTCATGAAGTTCAGTAAGGACAAGTGTAGAGTCCTGCATCTGTGGAGGAATAACTCCAGGCTCCAGCACAGATTAGGGGACGTCCTGCTGGAAAGCAGCCCCATGGAGAAAGACCTTGGAGTCCCAGTGGACAGTAAGTTGTCCATGGGACAGCAGTGTGCCCTTGTGGCCAAGAGGGCCAATGGGATCCTGGGGTGCATTAAGAAAAGTGTGTCCAGCAGGTCTAGGGAGGTTCTCCTCCCTCTCTACTCTGCCCTAGTGAGACCACACCTGGAATACTGTGTCCAGTTTTGGTCTGCCCAATTGTAGAGAGACAGGGACCTACTGGAGAGAGCCCAATGGAGAGCTACGAGATGATTAAGGGACTTGAACATCTCTTCTATGAAGAGAGACTGAGAGAACTGGGGCTGTTTAGCCTTGAGAGGAGACAGCTGAGAGGGGACCTTATTAACGTATATAAATATCTGAGGGATGGGTGTCAAGAGGAAGGGGACAATGTCTTTTCAGTGGTGCCTAGCAATAGAACAAGAAATAATGTGTTTAAGTTAGAACATAGGAGGTTCCACCTCAACATGCGGAGAAACTTCTTTACTGTGAGAGTAACTGAGCCCTGGCATGGGCTGCCCAGAGAGGTTGTGGAGCCTCCTTCTCTGGAGAATTTCAAAACCTGCCTGGACACATTCCTGTGTGGCTGCCCTAGGGAAACCTGCTCTGGCAGGGGATTGGACTAGATGATCTCTAAAGGTCCCTTCTAATCCCTAACATTCTATGATTCTATTATTTTCTTCTTTTACTACATTGTTAAGAATGCATTTTAAGCTTAATGGTACGTTTCAAGATTTATTCAAGCCATTATAAAAATTTCACTAGTAGAATCTTAAAATTAATTTGCTATATGTGAGGAAAAAAGTTAATGAAAAATGTTATCATCATGTGTTTCAGATGGGTTTTATTTGCTAATGAGATACCGTAAGCAAGCTCCTGTTAGATAAACAAGAGCTGCCCTTTAGTTGTACCCTGGCTGCAAGACAGTGATGATTTTGGAAAGGCAAGCTCTAAAGTTAGACTTACAAGAATAATGAGATGAAACAGATGTTGTAAGGTTTCCTAATGCAAAATTGCTTATTCTCCAGACATGAAGTACCTTAAGTAAAATAGTTACAGGAGACATATGTTCAACCTCTGCTTTCAGGTGCATCTCTACAGTCTATTGGAAGTCAGTGATTTTCCTTCCTGGGGTTTTTGGGTTTGGTTTTGGGGTTTTTTTAGAATTTTGAACAAACTGAAGTAATATGCTTCTTTTGAAGTAATTGTATATGTGGTATCCAGACAATCTGTTTTCGGTTGGAATATTAACACATTGAAGGGATCAGAGAATGAACTGCTCTTAATTTATACTTCCTTGTTAGCACATATTCTCCTCAAGAGACCTGAAAGAGAAAATATTTGTATGTGGAGAAACAGCTTTTGGAAACAGATGAATCCTTGAGACTAAACAAATTATGTTTACCACAAAAACAACAGTATCTGTTATAAGTTATTATGGTCTCTCTGTAAGCTTCTGTAAGTTATGTTGTGATTAAGTAGGTGAGTCCAAGTTATTACCGAACATTAATCAATTCAAGAAGGACAGACAAATTTCAGTAAATTAGCAAAAAGACCAGATATTTTCTATGCTTCGGTATTCATTGCTCTGTGAACACTGGGTTAGTTTTGCCTGGGAAGAAGAGCCTAAGTTATCTGAAAAATTATACTGTAAAATGTTAACATAGTAATTGTAATGGTTCATAACATAATATGCTTTGGAATTGGTATTAGGCTTTTGGGGGGGGAGAGTGATTTAGTTGAAAGAGGTACTTGTTAGGTAAATGTTAATCAGTTGAGTAACTGCAAAGCACTAACTGCTGTTTCTGAAAAAAGTGAAAGCTAAAGAAGACATGTCAATCTCCACTGTGCCCTGACAGAATACCTTTAGCACCTGAAAGATCTGTGCTGAGTGATACTGTAGCTGTCTGGATGTATCTAAATAACTTGATGGCTCTGGCTCTCCTAAATAATGAAAGTGGAGTCAGGAGGCAGCACTGAGGTTATTTGTTGTTCTGTTTTTTTTTAATTCAGTGTTTGCTGTTGAGCTTTAGTTTCCAGACTGGTTTTGACAATGTGCAACAACCAGAAATTCCAAGCTCCTTCCTTTTTCTCTCTTTTTTTTTTTTTTCTGGTTGTATCCCAAAATGGTGTTGTATGAATCCCTATGTGAAAATACCATGTTTAAAGGAGAGACTTTCAAAAAAGCCCTTGCTCTTTTTCTGGGCAATTGAGAGGTGTTTGCTCTAAGTTCTTCCACTAGCTGCCTTCATATATAATAGATCTCTCTTGAAATTTTGATCAGAAATACTTGTGCACCATACTACAATCAGATCATTAGATATGGATGAGATTTCCCAAAGGAGCATGTTATCATTATTTTACATCAAGCTTATACCCACCTCAGAAAATGATAGGCTTTTGAAAAAAAATCAGGAATATTATTCTTTATCTTTGAGCAAAGTTATACATTTGCCTTTTTCAGTGGCATTTTCAAGGCTATGTTTCTCCTTGAGGTAGGTTGGTATGCAAAATAAAGCCCATATAGCTAATGAAGTAAAATCAGTCACAAATATTGCAAAGTGTCTTCTCTCTCAATTATACCTTTCTTTTCCCCCAAAAAATAATGGCTTTGAAGCAGGTTTAAAGCTGATTCTTCAAGTGCTTATCAGACATCTGTGTTTTCCTTTCCCTGTCTCAGACAGCACAGACTGTGTTGGTGGTGGTGGTGGTTTTTGGCATCTCCTGGCTGCCGCATCATGTGATTCATCTCTGGGCTGAATTTGGAGTTTTCCCACTGACTCAAGCCTCCTTTCTCTTCAGAATAACTGCACACTGCCTGGCTTACAGCAATTCTTCTGTGAACCCGATTATATATGCATTCCTCTCTGAAAATTTTAGGAAGGCCTACAAACAAGTCTTCAAATGCCAGATAGGTAACGAGTCTCCTCTGAAAGACGTTAAGGAAAATAAAAGTCGGGTAGATACACCACCATCTACCAACTGTACACATGTGTGAACTCTGAAAAGTTCTGTATGCTGGCTCTTCCTTTGTGTGAACTAAACACCTAGACAACAAAGCACAACAACCTTCATCCTTGGGTTTATCTTGATAAATTACTATTTAATGTACTGAAGTTGTGTTTGTAGCAAAAGTTTGTGAAACTGGCACGAAAGAAAACTGATCTGATCCTTTGCATCTCAGATAGCTTTGTCACATGAACCTCTCGGACCTTTAAAAGACACTTGGTGAAAAAATTGTTGGAGGTAATATGTCTGTATTCTTAATCACTAGGCGTGCAGTATGTAAACATTCAAATATACAAGCAGGAAATACTGTTATGAACAAGTACCATTCTGACATCTTACTCCATCAAAGCAAAGAGATGGCTAAATTTTATGTCTTCGGCTTGTTTTGACAATGCCTTTTCTCTTTTTAAAGATGGGCTCTGATTCAGAGTTGAAATAACCCATGTATGTCTTGAGGCAATTTCATTAGAGAGGAAATGCTAATTTCATCTGTTTAGATGTCTTTGTAATGTAACATGCAGACTAATAATGGAATTTATTCCACTCCATATGCCCGCTTTACTGTATGCACAGAACTTCTGTGTATGCTGTACAAGCTTTTGTTTATGGCCTGCATGCAGCTGAACCAAAATTTCTGTCTTCCTGAGGGAAACTTTTCTTCATGTGTTGCATGTGTGTCTATGTTTTATTAACTTTATAGACGTTGAGATGGCGATACAGTTTTAAATGTGCAATATATATGTATGTATATATATATACAGTTCTATGTTTCATAAAGCAATTCTGGGCGCTTTAAAATAGCATTCCCTTAACAGTTGTAGGAGGGGCATGATATTGTGTAGCTCTAAATTGGAGAAATTCAGAAGGCTGCATTTAAATCAGTACAAAGTGTAAATGGACCAATTCTGCAAATTCTTAAACAAGATAAGTAGTTTCATCAGTTTTATGAAAGTTCTTAATATATCTTTAAGTGGTAAACCACTAAAGAGATAACAGAAGGGCACTCAGTCCTTTGAGAACATTACTGTTAGCTGGAGTAAGATTTATTTGGGTTTTTTTTTGTTAATCACCCATAGAGTCAGAGTGAATTAAGTTGAAGGAACCTCTGGACATCCTCTTAAGACAGGGCTACCCTCAGAGTTGGATCACTTCCTCACCTAGGTAAATTTTGAAAATTTATAAGGGTGGCAATTCAACAATTTTGAGGGGACAACCTGTTCCAGTTCCTAATTACCCTCACTGAAATATTTTTTTTCTTATTCCCAGTTGGGATTTCCCTTGATGTAACTCTTGGCTGTTGCCTTCCATCATTTTGCTGTGTACTTAAGTCTTCTCTCTAAATAATACGTAATATAAGGCAGGAATTCAATTTCCCTCCAGCCTTCTCCTCTGAAACAAAGTGTCAGGCTAAGTCTTTCCTCATGTTGTGCTCCAACTCCCTGGCCAGGTTAGTGGCCCTCCACTGGCCTTCCTCCAGCTTTTCTACCCCTCTTGTGAACTGGGGTGTCCAGAACTGAACAGTGTGTCCTGGATGTGGCCTCACGAGTAGTGAGTAGACTAATCACTTCCCTTCACCCACTGGCTGATTCTTGCTAATACAGCCGAATATTACAGTAATTTATTACTGCAAGGGTACGCAGCTGACTCATATTTAATTTCTGCCTTATGAGCATTCTCGTGTCCTTTTCTGCAGAATTGCACTGAGTTCCAACCCGAGTTTCAGCACTTTGCTTTTGGCCTTGTTGAATTTCACATATTTCATAGCTATTATTTCCACTGTTCCGGCTTATCAAGGGATCACTGAAAGGCAGCCCTGCTCTCCAGCGTATCCACCGCTTGCCCAGGCTTGGTATCTTGTGCAAAATGGCTGAGTCCTCCAGCCTTGTCTGGGTCTTTGGAAATGCTAAATAGTGTCGAGCAGATGCTCTGTTGCTCTAAAAAACAAGTTCAGAGCAGTGGAACAACATCAGCTATGGTGAGTTAGTTCACATGAAAATGTTTATGTGTCACTATTGTCTACTTGGAATCAGTAAATATTGAAGACATGCTATTGCATGCACAGTGTTTGTGTCTGTTCTTTCATGATATTGCTAGGAGCAAAATATGTGAAAAAACCCTTATTTGGATAAGAAGGGCTTATCTGTGCAGGAAACATTTTCTGGAGGTTAGGAGACACAGCCTAGAACACTGTTGAAGTTTCTTTGAGTTTTCAGATCCTCATCACCCACTAATCACTCAAATTATTAAAGTACTATGAAGATTCAGCTGAATTTGTAAAAAATTAGGAGATTCTATAGCTTTGAAAATGACTTTTTTTCTTTTTTAAAAATTACCTGTGATTTTATTACTTTAAATAAAAAACTACATTGTAAATATGTAATTTTATAAAGTTAACACATTGAGTTTATTGTTTCATCTGGAAAAGGCTTTTTTTCTTAATTGTATGTATCTGAATTTCAAACCCAGGTACTTGATAGTAATGGAGCTACATATGTCTGAAGTTTTAAATGTGGTGGGGAGGCGGGTGAGACACTGCAGTAACAACTAATTAGAAAAGCCCCACCTGGTTACTGGTGAATATCTGTAAAAACTCCACCTCACTTTTCAGAGCAAGGTTAAGAAGCAGCTGACACTCCAAGGCTCCATTTCCTACCTAAAATGTGCTTTTTGGTGTCTCTAGAGTGACTTTGATATACTTGGCCGTGACAGGGAGGGTGTAAGTGTAAACGCAGTGTTACCATGGGCTGTGACCTCTTTCTAACACTTGATCAGCCAGACAGCTGGGCAGGGAGTTGTCGTGCCACAAAACTGGCTAATTCTGGTAGAAAATTGGGGAATGGGTGCTAATGATCCCTTGGAACTGAATGTCTGCTTTTGAATTCTGAGCTTCTTGTCAGGGATTGTTTTTTCTGGTGGAAAGCAAAGCAAAAGTTTCACCTCACTTACTTGCCTAGCATGCCTTTTTTACGTATTTTTAACCAGAAAGGTTAATTTCAGTGTACATGAAGTAACGGGAAAAAAAAATTCTCTGAGTAGAGCTGAGTTTGCTGCTCACGTGAAGACGAATAATACCCCTGAATTCCCCTGTTGTGTCAATTTGAAAATGTTATTCTGCACCAAACAAAATAGGCAACATGAATCATGCCTATCGAATTCCTCTCAAACTAGATACAGGTGTGTAACTAAGCAAATACTTAAATTTCTCTTAAATTTATTTTAAATTGTATTTCTCATAATTTGAGAGAATTGGAGAACCCCAAGAGAAACTGCTGGTCACATATTCTTTTATAAACTCCCTCAAATTGTATTGTATGTATACTGCCTAAAATGCTACCTTTGTGCTGCTTCACAAGTGTCTCCTGAAGTTTAAAACATATGATAGACTGATGATAGAAATAGTGTATCCCATCTGATCAAGTAGTAGGAGTTATTCAGTCCGTCTTAAAAATGTGTCTCAGTGGAGAAATGTAAAAGTCTTTCTCTTTCATGGTTGAAAGACCTGCGGAGAGGTGGCATCTCTGCAGCACCTCATGCTAACATGAGAGGGTGTCCTTTCTTGCAGGGTCTGGAAAGGAACTCAGTTCATTCCATCTTCTGAGGTCGTGCTAAGACATTGCAGCAGGTTTCTACCCAATTTTACATTACATATGCGAGATTTTCTGTTTGTTACCACTTTTGCTTTAAGAAGATAAAGAAATCTCATTACAACACGGCATCAGTGGAACTTTCAAATTGTAAAGACTAATGGTTAAAGACGTCGAGAAATCATTCCGTCAGGGTTCTTGGGGCCGTGTTGGCTCTGCCTCCTTGTGGGTAGGTGTTTGAGGTACGATACAAAAAATAACAGCAGTGTTCTTCTTCAGCTAATGAAGCCTAAAATGCACATCCAAGATGTGTGGACCCAGATGCATGTTGTGCGCTGCTGTACATAAATCTAATTTAGCATCTGTAGCCAAAAAGAAGAAAAAAAAATAAATGGCACTTTAACATGTTTTTCATCATGTGCAAACACCCTGAAAAATGATGGGAGTTGCTCCTCTATACATTCAGCTGTGCTAACTTCACGGGTAATTTTATTACCCATATAACTAATTTTGAAGAGGGTAATCAATTTAGTTGAAAGAGACGCTAATGCTTAATGGCCACTTCTAAGCGAGTCATTAAACTAAATTTTCAGTCAGAAGTATGTACTACATATTTATGATATATGGTAATGTACACATTTACAATTGCCTAAAATTTCTACCTTGTATCAAAAAATGTAGAATTTCCTAGTATTTTTCATATATCTAATAAAATCATATGCTACAATGGAATACAAATACGTGACTGAACTGGCTGAAATTATCTATAAAAAATTATTATGACTGTATAAGGAGCAAATTTTACTTATGTAGTTTGGTAGTTCCCATCGGCAACTCTACTATTCTTTCAGTATTTTGTATGATTAAATTAATTCAATCTTTGATTATTCACAAAGTCTGCTGAAGTCTCTTTCTAAAATCAAACATTTAAAAAGTATTTTCAAAACTATTTAGTTTTTTGCAAGATAGGATAATTTAATGACATATTTTAAGTTGTGGTCCTTTCAATTCCATATTCACTTTGTATGCGTGCACCTCTTTCTTAAAACCTTATTATTTTCATAAACTATCTTCATTTTTTAAAAGTAAGGTCACTTTCTTCAAGAAATAAATGTCAAGCTTTATATATTTAATGTTGCAGTGAAGTAAATTTTACCTTAAATCCCACATAAAAAAAGGGAAAGTGAGGGACCTTTTTATGAAATAATGTTGTGGATGCATGATTTTAGACATTGTTATCTTCATGGTTGCTTCACAGTATGTCATATTGGACCTCATGATATTTGTAGTATTTTGGGGAAAGAATAAAAGCAGATAAAAGAACAGCTTCTAGCTTACAAAACTTGTGTTAGTGTTATGTATCAGTACATGTACAAATGTTGAAGACCAGAAAAATATAATTCTGTGTTTATTTCAGTGCATAATGTA